AGAATTCATCCTGGCCAAGATCTGGCTGTCATGCCCATCTGGTGAGTGAACACGTGGATACAAGATCTGTGTGTTTCTCCCTCTTTTGCTCTCTGTTGCTCTGCCTTTTAAAAAAAATAGACAAATCTAAATATTGTCAGCCCTCAAAATTCCTATCTCCCCACACAGCATGAAAACAAACAAAACTAAGGAAAGCAAATAGAACCACCTATGGCTACAGCATGACTGGAAGAAAAAGAAAATTATAAACCTCATTTCACATATGAGCAAGTAAATATTAATCCAAACCCAGCAGATCCAACTGCAGGACAAGGTGAAGAAGAGAATCCAAGACCACACAGAAAAAAATAGAAATCAGCAGGGGACCAGTAAGGATGGAAGACAGATAAAACCACCACCAGAAAAAGGGTTCCACCTTGAGTAGAGAAATGCTGAAGACAGGTCTGAGAACCCTGGCAGATGAAAGGAACTGAGGTATTAAAAAGAAGGGCATGAAAGAATTTGAGACTTGAAATAGCAATTTTGGGATGGTATTGCTTCTGGAGGTCAGAGGCACATCTTAAATACTTGATGGTGAAGAGGAAGAAGGAATCGAACAGCAAGAATTAAGTCTCATAGAAATGAAAAAGAATCATAAAATCAGAAGACATCCAACTGTGCTTCAGGCCAAGAAACAGCTCTCTAGGGGCTGGTACTGTGGCATAGTGGGTAAAGCCACCACATGCAGTGCCGGCATCCCATATGGGTGCCAGTTCGGATCCCAGCTGCTCCACTTCCGATCCAGCTCTCTGCTGTGGCCCAGGAGAGCAGTGCAGGATGGCCAAAGTCCATGGGACCCTGCTCCCACAAGGGAGACCGGGAGGAAGCTCCTGGCTCTAGATCAGCACAGCTCCAACCGTTGCGGCCAATTGGGGATTGAACCATTGGATGAAAGACCTCTCTTTCTCGCTCTGTTATTCTTTCAAATAAATAAATCAAATGAAAGAAAGAAAAGAGAGAGAGAGAGAGAAGAAGCAGGAGGAGGAGGAGGAAGGGAGGGAGGGAGGGAGGGAGCGAGCTCTCTAGGAGTACAGTGAGGTGAGGGGAGATGCACTTTCTTCTGCCAACACAAGAGGGTATGCTTGAGCTAACAAACCCTGGTTAAGCAAACTCCTGCCCTCTTTGGCCATTGCTAAAACTGGAACATAAAATGTTTCAAAGTGCACACAAAATGACAGGTTTATAATGTCACATATAGAAAACTAAAAATTAAAATATTTTAAAAACATATCCATGAAATGAGAAAACTGAAACACAGCACTCCAATGTAAATCAAATACATTCAACATTTAATGACATGAAATAATAGTGATCAGAAAAACTCAGATCATAAATTAAAAAAGAACAAAAAGATTGGGGCCAGCACTGTGGTACAGTGGGTAAAGGTGCCGCCTGCAATACAGGCACTCTTATCCCATATGGACACCGCTTAGAGTCCCCACTGCTCTGCTTTTGATCCAGCTCCCTGCTAATGTGCCTAGGAAAGCAGTGGAGGATGGCCCCTGCACCCATGTGGGAGACCCAAATGAAGCTCCTGGCACAGCCCTGTCCTGTGTGGCCATTTGGGGAATGACCCAGATGGAAGATGGATCCTCTTCCTCTCCCTTCCCCCCCCTTCTATAACTCTTTCAAATGAAAGAAAAGTGAAGGAAAGAAAGAAGAAAGAAGGAAGAAAGGGCACCAAATTGGAAAAAGAGAGAGAGAGAGAGAAAGTAAGTCAATATCAGGAAATATCAAACTTTAAAAATCATAGGTAAAACAGATTAAATTATACAATGGTCTAAAGGAAATGAGATTTTATGTAAAATAAAGTAACTGGTATTGAGGAAAGGGATAAAAAATAGTCAAGAAAATAAAAATAAAATCAAGAATGTAATAAAAAGAATCAGGAAAAACAAGTGGTAGATACAACAGCAAAAAGATTCAACACAGTGCAGTCCCTGAGGACGACTAAAATAATGGAACAGGTGTGATATTCCAAATTACACTAGCAGAAGTTTCTGGGAATAAAACCTGAGTCTATACATTGAAAGGCTCTTGAGTGAATCTAGGAAAACTGATTTGGAAGGTCTAAGGAATGTTAGAAGTTCAGTTAGATTTGAGAGAAAAAAATCCTCAGGGCCTCAGGCAAAAGAGGACATTACAAAATATAATAATAAAAGTAACGATTGAAACAAAAACAGAATACTATGCACAGAAAGTAATTAAAAATATAACTGTTTATTTAAGTCCCAGCGCTAGATCTGCTACCTCTCCAAGAACTCCTGATAGATTCTTTTTAACGAGGGGGTATAGGCAAAAGGACTGGAAAAGCACCCGTGGGCCTCGAACCACCAACGAATTGGTGACTAGGTCTGATTCAGTAGACGAAGGAACCACTGAGCTAAAGCCAGCCCGGAAACTGCTGTCAGATCACAATGCTTTGACTCAAAGAGACACGCGTCACAAACAGCACGAGATAGACGTCATAGAAGGCAAACCAGGAACCGGTTACTCCGGGACCGCTCAGCGTCCACTACTGTTCATTGTGGCCCCGCCTCCACAAGGCTGACGCACTACCACCCGGGGACTCCGCAGCAGTGACTCCGCCCCCGTCCTCCCGGGGAGCTGTTCCGCAGCGGCACCCGCCCCGCCCCGCCCCGCCCACCTGCACTGCAACTTGGCAGGGTCACCAGACTAACTCGATGTCCAAAGCCAGTCCCCCCTACCACCTTCCTCCTTTGGGGGGGGGGGGGGGGGGGGTGGTGGTGGTGTGGTTGGTAATCTTTACAAATACGTATTTCAGACCTTATCTTGGAAGTTTGCTACTAAATCAGAAACCCATAGATGTTATATAGTTTATTTCCTGTTACTACTTTTCATAAGTATTCTTGCAGACACTGTAAACAGGTAACCTCGCTTCCCAAAATTCCTTTCCTTCCTGAATATGTCAGTGTGCCACTTTTCTCTACTTATATATGTAACTACATGACTTTTTTTTTTTCTTTTTTGGGGTATTTAGTCTTGCAGTTCTTCCCTGTCAGTACATATTTGTACATAATGGCTCCATTACATCCTAGCATAAAAGTACTAGTATTATTTTAAATGTTTTACTATCAGAAACAAAGCTGTAGTAAATGTCCTTGTTTGTAAATGTACACATACACAAGTATGTTTTTAAGGTAAATGCTTGAGTAGAATCACTGCATTAAATCTGCACATTTAAATTTTTGGAGGTTATGGGAGAAATTCTGGAAGCCCTGAGGGTACCATAAGGTGAGCCATAAGGACCATCTTTTGTTCCTAAGGACTTCAGACATCCCCTAAGAACGTAATTCCTTCACATCTGAGACCCTGACGCCTTGCTCCATTAACATAGCAGTGCCTGTGACATGCTCACCCTCTGAGCACTGGATTAACTCAGGTGGACTCTCAGAAGCACATTCCTCAATCGGAAGGCAAATCTTCCACACTTAGCTAGACTTCCAACGTCAAGAGCTTCTCTTCAGAGATTTTCAAATCATCTGGGACTGCTCCGGACTCCTGAATTTCCACCCCATCTCCATCCGTCCCTTTTCCAAGCTACCACTTTAAGCCCCTCCAAATACTCATGACCTAGACTCACATCACTTGCCAGTCCAGAGGGCTTTGAGAACCTGGAATTTAGAATTGCTTTTCAGTAATTGCTTCTCAGCCCTTTGGAAAAGATCAGCTATAGAACTGCTAGGTGATCAGAGGTTGTACCATAGAGGGAGAGAAATCATTTGAAGCTAAACTGAATTAGATGACCTCCTAAAGAATGAAGACTAAATCATGGAAAAAACTGAAACCTGCTCCAGCTTGCCTTGAAAGGAGTGACAAGATGATCCAGTCAACTACAGCAGAGTACCCATGGAGCTCTAGTGCACATAATCCTGCCAAGGAAACAATCCACTGGTGTCTCCAGGAGGCCAAGACTCTATCTAAAACGTTGACCCATGCCTTAACCCAACAGAAGGCACAGTCACAGTGTTCCCGGAGCAATATTCAGCATCAAAAATTAACCAGGTAAAGGGCATGTGTGGCAGCAAGGGAATTTGGTATGAAATCCAGAGGTAAGAGTATGGTGCTCTGCAGAATCCACAGTTGTTCAGATGCTAAAGAAAGCGGCGTGAAGAGCTAGACAGAGCAGAGGAAGAAAGTAAGCCACATGGTGGCAACCTTGTTAACCCAAATAGATCCTTTTTCAGGGTACAGAATCACTAGCAGTAGTTGCATCAGTCATCTGCTTAAAATGACTATTACTCTTTTCTGTGTTTGACTGCTTTGTCCCCCCACCCCCCACATTCCAGGTCCAGTACTTGGTCTAGGGTAGCAAAGATTTGGGGTTTCCTTTTCATTAGCTAGTTCTGTGCCACCTCTCAAGTCAGACCATAGCTGGGAAGGCAGCACCATTCTCAAAGGTTCGCAACAGAGCAAAGGCAATTTTGCCCCCTTCACTCAGGAACATGTATATATCTTTTTTATTGTCACAGCTGCAGGAGGAGGTGCTACTGGCATCTAGTGGGGACAGGTTAGAGATGACACTAAACATCCTGTAACACACAGTAGTGTCTCTGTGACACAGAATTATCCAGCCCCAACGTCAACAGTGCCAAAGTTCAGTAACTGTGCCTAGACCAACCACAGCTAGTGAAAGAAACACTAAGTTAAACTGAGCTCTGCTGTTCCAAAACAAGGAAGATCCAACGAGACTGAAATTATAGAAATTCTTTTGTCCAGACTCCTCTGGACAGATACTGTATCAGAGGGAACTACAGTTCAAACTGGAGGAACCTAGTTAAAAAAAAAAAAAAAAAAAAACCGGGGGGGGGGGGGGTCAATGAAAGGGAAGAGGGGTCAATGAAGGGAGTATAGAAGCTCTATCTGGAAATCCTCAGTGAGATAAAGGAAAACATACAAAGGGAAGATTTTGGAAATGTTCCCACCAAATGTCAAACAGGCCCACTCAACGCTATTTATTATATATGTTTAACAGCCCTGTGACCCAAGGGCTCCCACAATGAGGTTTTGAGCTTTTGTTGTTTTTGTTGTTGTTTTCTTTTTTGCATCAAACAGGTTCTTCCAAGAGCCTGCTCACAAGGAAGACAAAAACAGAGAAATCCTCAGTAAAAGGAAACAAACAGTAGTTGAAACAGTCTACATCCGAAGAACAATGTTAAAAAACTCACCAGACACAAGCCACACCAAACACTCATCCCATTTAATTTCCTGTTACATGCTCTGAGGAGGCGAGAACATCAGGCCCCAAGGCAACAATGCTCTGAGATTCTAGCGCAGGCCCCCTCTATGTGACAGATTCATGCACACACATCCGCACACACCACTGACCCAGGCAGAAGTACACATGCATGCACAGGTGGCTGAAGAACCTCAGGGCAGGATGGGAGAAGGAAGGGCTTGTCAAGGATATCCCATCAACTGGAAAGTGGGGAGCCCGAGATCCCTTCTGCTGCAGGCTGAACATTAAGTCAAAATTAAAACAAAGGCAGAACACAGGATAAAGGTAGGATGCTCAGACAAGAAGGTGAATAGATGAAGATGCAGAGGCTTTTGGGAAAGCAGCCTCCGAGGGAAGGTGGGTTTTGTTTGTTTTATTGGGAACTCAGATGGGCAGAGGTCCTGTGACTCCAGCGATAAACTGAGGCTCAAGGAATATGCCATAGCATTACCTCTGCATCCTGTGCCCTCTCCCAAGGTAGAGGGAAATCACAAACACCCACCCTCTAGCCCTCCCCACTGACACTCTTAAGGATTTCCCCAGTACCCAAAAAGAAGTATTTCCCTTACCCCCAACACATACACACACAAAGTTAGGTCCAGCATAGGCCAAAATGAGGCCAAGTATAGAAAGCGTCAGTAACTTTTCTTCGTGGAACCAAAGCCAGAGAAGCCCATCACAGCTGCCATCTCATCATCCTCTTCAAATGTCAAGTCCTCCTCAGCCCTCCTTTTCTTCTCCTTCTGTTTCTCTTTCTTGTAGGCTTTAGCCTTTTCCTCCTGTGGGGGAAACCACTCAGACTCAGCTCAGACTCCTGAACTGTATATTGTCAAAAGATACATGTACATGTCAGGATTTTCTCTGTATTTGGGAGAAAGTAGTTAGACAAAAGCATGTAACTAACTGACATTCTAGCATATGCAGTACATGCCAAGAACTGTTCTGAGTACTTTATATATTTCACTTGGATCTCCAATATGGAGAAACTGAGGCCATATATAACTTGAAAAGATTCATAGCCATTAAATGGTGGAAACAGAATTCTGATCCTATCAGCCTGGTACCAGGGGCCTCTTGATGACTTGATCAATTTAGTTAATCCACAGAAAAGACTAAGGCTATGCACACACAGGTATAGGAGACAACCAGGAAATCTCAGTGAGGACAGCGCTGGGCACAGCAGGTTAAGCCACCACCTGTGATGCCAGCATCCCCTATGGGCACTGATTCAAGTCCTGGCTGCTCCACTGCACATCCAGCTCCCAGTTAATGTGCCTGGGAAAGCAGCAGAAGATGGCACAAGTCCTTGTGCCCATGCACCCACAGTGGAGACCCAGATGAAGCTCCTGGCTTTGGCCTGGCCCAGCCATGCCTGTTATGGCCATTTGGGGAGTGAACCAGCATATGGAAGAGCTTCTCTCTCTCTCTCTCCTTTTCTCTCTAACTGTGCCTTTCAAATAAACAAATCAATCTTTAAAAAAAAAAAAGAAAGATAAAGGAAGGGGCCAGTGCTGTGGCGCAGGTTAATCCTCCACCTGAGGTGCCGGCATCCCATATGGGCACTGGTTCTAGTCCCAGCTGCTCCTCTTCCAATCCAGCTTTCTGCTCTGGCCTGGGAAAGCAGTAGAAGATGGGCCAGGCGCTTGGGCCCCTGCACCCATGTGGGAGACCCAGAAGAAGCTCCTGGCTTCGGATCAGCCCACCTCTGGCTGTGGCAGCCATTTGGGGAATGAACCAGCAGATGGAACACCTTTCTCTGTGTCTTTCCCTCTCACTGTCTGTAACTCTGTCAAATAAATAAAATCTTTAAAAAATAGAAAAAGGAAATCTCCATACCTTCCTCTCAAGTTTTTTTTACTCTAAACTTTTTGTTTTCTTTTTTTATTTATTTGACAGACAAAGTTAGACAGTGAGAGAGAGAAACAGAGAGAAAGGTCCTCCTTCCGTTGGTTCACACCCCAAATGGCCACTACAGCCGGAGCTACGCCGATCCGAAGCCAGGAGCCAGGTGCTTCTTCCTAGTCTCCCTTGCGGGTACAGGGGCCCAAGCACCTGGGCCATCCTCCACTGCCCTCTCGGGCCACAGCAGAGAGCTGGACTGGAAGAGGAGCAACCGGGACTAGAACCAGCGCGCATATGGGATGCCAGTGCTGCAGTTGGAGGATTAACCAAGTGAGCCATGTTGCTGGCCCTAAACCTTCTTAATGAAACAAAAAGTCTTTTTAAAAAATTAAATGAAAGCACAATTATCCATAAAAGCAAGGCCCAGCCGGCGCCGCGGCTCACTAGGCTAATCTTCCACCTAGCGGCGCCGGCACACTGGGTTCTAGTCCCGGTTGGGGCGCCGGATGCTGTCCCGGTTGCCCCTCTTCCAGGCCAGCTCTCTGCTGTGGCCAGGGAGTGCAGTGGAGGATGGCCCAGGTCCTTGGGCCCTGCACCCCATGGGAGACCAGGAAAAGCACCTGGCTCCTGGCTCCTGCCATCGGATCAGCACGGTGCGCCGGCCGCAGCGCGCTGGCCGTGGCAGCCACTGGAGGGTGAACCAATGGCAAAGGAAGACCTTTCTCTCTCTCTGTCTCTCTCTCTCACTGTCCACTCTGCCTGTCAAAAAAAAAAAAAAAAAAAAAAAAAAAAAAAAAGCAAGGCCCAGAAAGTCCAGGAGAAAAGGGTAGGTTTGAAGTCATTTCCTTCAGATCATGAGAGACTCAAATAAAGACAATAAATGTTTCCCCTAATATTCAGAACATACAACTCTGGGGCTGGGGATGCAATGAGGAAGAGGCCTCCCATGAGTCACGATATAAAATGCAAAGCTGGGGCTGTACAGGAGTGCCTTACTTCTTCTCTGAGCTCCTTCATCCTTTCCTCAAAATCATAATCCTTCTGCTTCTCTTCCATCTTCTTCTTGTTGACCTCAAAACGTTTCTTCACCTGATCCAGTGTAGATCGTTCCACACGCATAGACATACCCAGGTTTCGCTGATCTGGGTGAGGTTCAAAATAAGAAGGCAAGGTCATTACAACATCCTCAGAGCCTCAAAAAGTCTTTTCCTAGCCTTTTGAAAACCTTTTCATAAAGCACGTAACAAAAATAACCTGGCTGGGGTTGGAATTGTGGCACAGCAGGTAAAGCCAAAGCCTGTAATACTGGCATCTCATATGGGCGCAGCCAGTTCAAGTCCTGGCGGCTCCACTTCCTATCCAAATCTCTCCTCATGTACCTGGGAAAAGCAGCAGAAGATGGCCCAAGTCCTTGAACCCTTTCCACCCACAGGGGTGACCCAGAAGGGGTTCCTGGCTCCTGGCTTCAGCCTAGCTCAGGCCCTGGCTGTTGCAGCCATTTAGGCACTGAACCAGCAGATGGAAGATCTCTAGTTCTCCCTCTCCCCATCTCTGTGCATGTCAAATAAAAAATAAATATTGAAAAAAAATTAATAATAATGGCTGAAAAAAACACATAAAAAGCTCTTGGCCCCACGTGTCCTAGAAGCAGTAGCTCCAGATAACAAGATGGAAGTGGCTTCCAACTGCCCTTATCAAGCAGATGAGCATCAGTGGGGCCAGCCTGGCCCAGGGGAAGTACCCAGAATGGGCCTATTGAGAGCCCAGAATTTCACCTGATGGTGATAACGAAGTAAAAGACAACCTGACCTAAAACAACTGAAGAGTTCCCCAGGCATCAAAAAAAGACCCAGGGAAGAGTATTTGATGTAGCAGTTAAGACACTGTTTGAGGCACCCACATCCCATACCAAAGTGCCCCGGTTTGAGCTGCAACTCTGTTCTCAATCCCAGCTTAATACTAACATACACCCTGAGAGAATGCAAATAATGGCTTAAGTGGTTGGGTCCCCACTATCCCCCAACTTGGGAGATCCAGATTGAGTTCTATGCTCCTGGCTTCAACCTGGCGCATCTTCAACTGTTGTAGGCATTTGAGATGATCACATTTGGGTAGTAAACCAGATGAGAGATCTCTCTCTTCCTGCCTTTCAAATAAAAATTTAAAATGGGGGCTGGCACTGTGGAGTAATGGGTTAAGCCATCATCTGCAGCAGTGGCATCCTATATGGGTGCTGGTTCGAGTCCTGGCTGCTTTACTTCCAATCCAGCTACCTGCTAATGCACCTGGGATAGCAGTGGAAGATGGCCTGAGTGCTTGGACCCCTGCACCCATATGGGAGACCCAGATGAAGCTCCTGGCTCCTGGCTTTGGCCTGGCTGAGTCCCAGCTGCTGTTACCATTTGGGAAGTGAACCAGTGGATGGAAGATCTCTTTCTCTCTCTGTCTCCCTCTGCCTCTCCTTCTCTGTAACTCTAATTTTCAAATCAATCAATCAATCAATAAATAAATCTTAAAGAAAAAAAAAACAAAACCAGTGCTGTGGTATAGTAGGTTAATCCTATGCCTATGGCACTCGCATCCCATATGGGCACTGGTTCGTGTCCTGGCTGCTCCTCTTCTGATCTCTGCTGATGGCCTTAAAGCAGCATAAGATGGTCCAAGCGCTTGGGCCCCTGCACCCACGTGTAAGACCCAGAAGAAGCTCCTGGCTTGATTAGCCCAGCTCCAGCTGTTGCAGCCATTTGGAGAGTGAAACAGTGAATGGAAGATCCCTCTCTCTCTCTGTCTCTCCCTCTCTCTCTGTAACTTGGCCTCTCAAACAAATAAAAATATAAAAAAATCAAAATAAAAAAAAACAAAAAATCCCAAGATACCCACCTCCAAAACCCAATCCCAGTCACAAACTACCTCCAAGCCTTACGTTTCTTTCCGTTAATGTGATCCAGGAAATTGATGGAATCCTTCACCACACAGTCGCAGACGTTGCAATAATATCTAAAAACAGTAGGAAACAGCACTGGGTCAAATCTGGTTTCAAGGATCTTATCCTTTTCAACTAAAAAATACAAATTCTTAGGTAAACTTCATTTCAGAAGTTTTAAGGTTTCAGGGTAGGCACTGAGGCACAGCTGGTTAAGATATTGCTTAGGAAGGCCACATCCCAAACGGGAGTACCTGGTTCAAGTCCCAGCTACTCCAGGTTCCTACAAATGCACCTGAGAGGAACACGATAGCCCAAGTACTTGGGTTCCTGCTAGCCACATAGAGACCCAGATGGAGTACCTGGCTCCCTGTTTTGGCCTGGCCTAGCCCTAATTATTGCAAGCAGTTGAAGAGTAAATCAGTATATAGAATCTCCCTCTTTCTCTGTCCCTCTGCCTTTCAAATACTCTATTTTTTTTTTTTAAGTCTAAAATTTTATTTCCATAAAGCCTTAGCTCTTAATATCATGTAGTGGCCATCATCCAAAACAGCCTCCATAAGTCCCCTTCCTGGTGTTTCTACCCTGTGTAGTCTCCTTCCAATTTGTACCTGGGTTGGTTTGTGTGGTAAACAGATTATGTTCAAACTGATGACTGGTCACTTCTAAGGTTAGGTTTTAAAAACCACGGCTTCTATTTCTGTGTGAATCACTTGTTCTTGAAAAAGGCAGTTGCTCTGTTGTGAGCAGTCCTACAGAGAGGTTCATAGGGTGAAAGAACTTAGGCCTCCAAACCATAGGTTTGTGAGGGAGCTTGGAAGCAGTTCCTTCAGCCCACTTAAGCCCGAGATGAATGCAAACCTAGCCAACTCCTTGCTTGTAGCTCCATGAAAGACCCTAGAGCAAGAACCACTTAGGTAAGCCACTTCCAGATTCCACACCCACACACACTGTGAACTTTTTGTTTTATGCTGCTAAACCTTGGGTTCCCTTATTAATTTATGTATCCACGGACAGAACTACTGCAGAGAAGAATGATAGCCACTCAAAGAAGTTTCACTCATTGCTACCTATGCTGACCTCCTGCTTGAAGTCCTAACTGCACAGAGAAACAGTGGTGGCAAAAGAATGGCAAGATCTTGTGGGAACCTTCTTCCTATAGGTTACAGTCTGGGTCAGGGAGGAAGGTGCACAACCAGGTAATCCATAACAACGGCAGCCTTTGTGCCAGTCTGGAACCTCAGCCCTTTTTCTGCACCATTAACAGCTCCAAAGCCCCTCCTAGTTCCACCTATTTCTCTCCTAGAAATCAACAGACTCTCTCCTCCTTTCTTCTTCTAACAAAGAATTCCTTTGAAGATGTAAGGAGCAGTTACACTGCCAACATGAACAAGGCCACAGAGTGGCCACTTCTGGAGACACTAATTGTTAACCTAAGACCGTGAAGGACAAAGTAAAACAAACCAAAGAGTGAAATGATAGGCAGCAAGGTTATTATCCTGGGGTTAGGGATCCTCAACATTTCCTAAAACAAATATATATAGTTTGTTGGACCTACTACAGCTGTTTGGAAAGATAAAAAAACCACTTACCCTCCCATCTCAGACTGTGGGGTGGTCTTGGTAATGACAATTGTCTTGCCAAGCTTAGATTCCAGGTCCACTTTGTAGTCTCTGTGTCGCAGAAGTTCCCGCTTGACTGGCTGCACTGGTTTTCCTGAAACATAATGAAGAAAGTCCCTTCAATATTACAGTTATCAGTCAGAAAGGAAAATAAATGCATTAAACCCAAAATTAATGATTCCTGAAAAAAGGCCACAACAGGCACCTCCAGCAGCAGTCAGCAGTAGTGAGGGAGAATCTGAACACAAGAAAAATGATAAGCAATCCCTACTATCTACAGCTTTTCTCCACTTTAAAGCCAGCTAATCTACAAGCTACATGTTTTCTATTTATTGATTAACTGAGGGGAAAAGTTATGAATTCCCACTAAAAGCAGCCTTTTCAAAAGAGCAAGGACATATGAGTAAAAAAAAAAAAAGTGAATTCGGTGAGAAGAGGGAATAATTTGTCACTTATACATAGTTAGGAACAGATCCTTTAATTATCCGGCATACCCAAGAAAGTTTATTAGTTTCAAGTCAACCAAAAAAAGAGCAAGGACACTCAGGAATTCTTTACAGGCAGATACCCTACGCATAACACACAAATGGCCAAATTTTAAAAGGGGGGCCAATATTTAGGAAATATCTATTCACAGACCAAGTACATAATACAGAAAAACCAAGAGGGTGGGGCCTGTGTTGCAGCAGTGAGCTAAGCTGCCAGCAGCAACATGATCGTCCCTTACTGGAGTGCCTGCTAGACTCCTGGGCTGCTCTGCTTTTGATTCAGTTCCTTGATAATGTGCCTGGGAAAGCAGGGAAGATGGCCAGAGTTTGGGCTCCCGCCACTCATGTGGGAGACCCGGCGGGAGCTCCCAGCTCCTGGCTATTACAGCCATTTGGAGAGTGAACCAGCCAATGGAAGGGTTCAGTCTCCCTCTGTCAATCTGCCTTTCATATAAATAAATAAATGTTAAACAATAACAAAAACAGCATTGTTAGCCTGTGAAAAGTGGTGTGGGAGTAAATAGAACAACGTGAAAACAGATGAGAAAAAATCAGACACTTCTTTTCCCAAAGTGGGCGCTATCTAGGAGAGGAGCATCCACGACGTCCCTGATGTCGCACAAGGCGCAGAGAAACAGCACGAGCGAGCGCCAGCTCAAAGGATCGCACGTTCCAGGCAGTACCCCGCTTGCCTCCGGCTCTAAGAGTCCCAGCTGCGCCAGGAATGTTCTCCTCCCTCTGAAGAGCTCTCAAGGAAAAGAAGGTGTCTTTGAGAGCAGTAATGCCCAGCAGCCAATCAGTCCACTGAGCTTCTCTGTCACTACTAAGAAGCCCGGTCTCTGTAACTCAGGAAAGCACCAAATGAGCCAACCAATGAAAACAAGCAAACAGAGAACAGAGCTGAAAAGCACCACAAAACCTCTTTATTTCAGACGCGGAGAAGCCGCGGGCCACTTTGCCAAAAGTGCCACCCTGTAGGAGGGCAGCCCATCCCAACTCTCCCGCCCACTGCATCGCCGCCGCGACACCCCGAGCCCTGGACAGAGCAGGCACCCACCATCCTTCTTCTCCCTCTCTTCCGTGAGCCTCTTCTCGGCAAGCTTTTCGTATTCATCTTTGTCCCACTTTCGGCGAAAGTCCAAGTTTTTTGTCTGTGGGGAAAGAAAGCGCTCAAGACCTGTCGCTATCGCGTCTGGACCCCTAGAAAGTCTGAAGGAACCACGTCCGCACCGCCAAGGCGGCTCCAGGATTTTTGGAAAGCGAAAGCTCTCCGGCCCAGACCAAGAGGCTAAAGTGGCCTCAGGACCCCAACCCAAGAGAACTCCGCGGTTCCACAGACCCCACGCCTTACGGAATTCTCGAACCCGGACCCTAGGACCGCGAAGTGTTGGGAAGCCAGTCCGCTGCAGGAGCTTGTTTCTATTCAGCACTGAGAAGTAACCCCACCGCCCCCAAAAACCTCCTCCTCACACACAACACATACCCCGCTGCCCGACGCCATCTTCACAGCGAAGTGAATGGGAGGCCGGAAAATGCTGTAAAAAGAGGCCCGGAGCCGTAAAGCAAGTCGGCCCTCCAATAAGCTTAGAGTCTCGTATTCTGAACGGGCTAAGGACTGGAGGGCTTTCACAACAGACTTGTCGGCCCCGCCTCTGCTCCAAGGAGACGGCGCAGGCGCAAGAAAAGTACGAAGCAACACGGAAGTAAGGGCGCCTGCAAACGTTTTTTGTACCGGCTTTCAAAACAAGCGGTGAAGAGCCGACACGTTTAATTCAGGTTCTGAAAATGCCTCTTTCTCTAATCAACTTTGCGTGCATTGTCAAGAGTTTCTAAACCTTAAGTCCCAACTACTACTAGGGGCTTTAGATGTCTCATTCCCCTGCAGCTGCTAGGGATGGGGCCCTGAACCGCACTGAAGTGTTGGCAACGGCTGAACCTTCCCAGGCAGAGACGGAGAGCGCTTTTTGCACTAGGGCTCTCTTTCTCGAAACAGTACTATCACTCTGGTTAACTCATTTTTTCCTTCAACTATGGAACATCATAGGTCATTCAGTCTCTAGGAAACCATTTCCTCAATATGACTGGACACGAGGCGGCCAATCATCAGCAATAATCAGGTGAAGCACTCGGGCAGATGGCTCAGGACACGTTGATTTCTAGCAACATGACTATCAACGAGTCGGGGCGTGGGGGGCAGGAGTGGAAGAAGGGGCTGTGGTTGCTCCGTGCACAGACTACACCTCAGGGAGGTTACTTCTAGCTCACAGAATTCTTCAGTCTAAATTGAAACAAGCCAATGACCTAGGCAAGCCAATCCCTTGATAACACATCACTCAAACTACCACATTTAATACTTTATTTAACAAATTATTTAACCACCTGTAGAAAAGCAGGGCATGGAATAGTCGGAGCATGACTCTGGCATAGGAAATAGTCTCCAAAAGCTCAGATCTCCAACTTGACAAGCCACCTATGAAGTTCAACCCCACTATCACAAACAGTGGCTGGCGGAGACGACAGATCAACTTGGGCACTCCCGCCCTTAGGACAGCATCTCCGCCCTCAGAGCGAAGAGCAGTCATTGCTTCTCCTTGCTTTCTTTACAAAACTCCTTGGACATATCCAGGGTTCGTTGAGGACAAATCCCCCAGATTCTGGTTCCAAAGCTGCTGTGGAAGGTCCAGTATCTGCCTTCTGATCTCGATGGTTCAGAATCCTCAGCCTGAGGTGGCTCTCCCAGAGCCGAGCCCTGCTCCCAGCAACCCCTCAGCACCTCTTGGTGGCATTTAGCAGCACTCCAAATTTGCTTCCACAGCTGGAAAATGTCTTTCACACCCCAGCCATCTGCACCCATGCAGAGCAGCTTCCCGTACCAGCCCAGGAGTCCTCAGGCCTTCTACAGTTCTGTATCCAGGAAGGATGGAGGAGGTAGAAGCGCTTGCCACCTATCCTGGCCAGCTATGCTGGAATCCAGCAGGAATTCTGGCCCAGATGAAATCTCTTCTACAAAGAGCAGCAGACGGCTTTCAAGCAAGGATCAAGACTCAGACAGTCGCTTCTGAATTTCAGTCACAAGATCTTCCCGTTTAACAGCCACCTGAAACATACGAGACCCCTGAAGTGACAAACTAGAAAGTGATACTCACTCTTTAATCACTGTTTTTTCAGATTCATTTTACTCTGCGTGTACTGTGGGCTTCAAGGTAATCTGGAGAACATACATCCTCAAGACTAAAGGGATTTGTTTACTTTGTTGGTCAGTCTCAAAGCACCATTTTGATTTTGTTTCTCCTTCTTTGCCCATCAAGCCAATATTCACTGGCTACAATGGTTGTCTGGGGTGGGTCTTCTTCATTCATCTCTATCAACTATTAATCTTGGAGTTTTTCCTCATCAATACAATACATACTTCTTAAAAGAATCTTGGAAAGGTGCACATACTTGTGCTTCTGTTTCTGCCTGCTCCCACTTACCTCCCCTCTGCTGGCTACTGAACGGATCTTGACAACCCCTTCCTTCAGTTCTTGCTCACCAATAATGACCACCAATGGAATGCCTGTGTTCTCACAATAGTGCAGCTGACTTAATAATTTAGGGTTGTTCTTGTATGGCATCTCTGCCTACAAAGGAACAAGGTAGAGAACGTAAAAGTGACAAAGTACACAAACCTCTGAACATGCATTTCCAAGGTAGTAAAAATTAAGTGGCTGGACCTCCTTTCCAAATAAGCCATTCTAGTCATTAGACTAAAAAGTTCTGGAGTTCCTCCCAAAGCTCAAGGTAAAAATGGCCCTGGCTCAGAAGTCAGCTCCACCATACCTTGATCCCAGCATCCCAAAGCTCAGCAATCAGCTTCAACCGCTCTTGGAGAAAGTTCTTCTGGGGTGTGGCCACAAACACTTGGGTCTCTGTGGCTCGTATCTTCTCACCAAGAGCCTGATAAAATAGAGAAAAAACAGTAAAACTACTAAAAACTTCCTCTGAACCAGCGATTCCAAAAGCAAAGCAAAAAAGAATGGTCAGAAAAACAGCACTACTGTATTTTAGAAACAGGAGGCTTTTCAGGCCTTTAACCCCACCCAGCCCTATCTAGGAGCTACCTTCATTCTCTGTTCCACAATGTAGAAGATCCGCTCCACTCCAATACTGAGTCCCACACATGGCACCTTGTGGCCTTTAGGATCAAACATGGCCACCAGCTCATCATAGCGACCACCAGCAGCCACACTGCCCACATTCAGAGGCTCCTCTTCAGCCTGAGCTGGGGTCTGTAGCAGCACTGCCTCATAGATCACTCCTGTATAGTAGTCCAGGCCCCGAGCCAGGCTTAGGTCAAAAGAGATCTGTGGGGACAGGGCCCAAAGTAGACTCAGGATCCTGAGGGCCCAGGAGGCTCTCAGGAGGCTCTTGAGGTTTACTCCTGACTCAGCTTACCTTGTCAGTGATTCCAAACAAAGTTAGGTATTCAAATAGCAGCTTCAGATCCCTCAGGCCCTCCAGGGCCTGCTTATTCTGGGATAGTCTGGGATCCTGGAATAACTGCTCTACCAGGGACACCCCACCTGGGGAGAAAAGTGGGAAGAAATGATGTCTGTGCTGGTCACCCAGATGTGTTTCGTCCAATTTATGCTTTATATGCTCTAGCTAACCCTCTTCATTGTCTTATAATGAGGAAAAAAGATCCTGGTCTCTTATGAACAGAGCCTCATCCTCTGCCTATACTTTTGCCCCCAGAAGACACAAAGTAAAAGAGAAATTAAATATAGGCCAGCTAAGCGCAACTATGGAAAGCTGTTTCAGAGAAAGAATCTGACCACTCGCCCTCAGTCCAGTTCTACCACGGCTCTGAAAACCCTAGTCCTTACCATGACACTGGACATAGTCCCCAATTCGATCAGCTACCTCAGGAGCCAGGCCTTTCTTTGTCACCATCTCATGTCTCACATCTGTCCAAGGCATCTGCATAAACACCCAAACATTAGCTCAGTCCCAAGATCCTTCTTTCTCAACTGAGAAAGACAATATTTTATTCAGTATGTATGTCACAAGTAGCTAACAGCATCCTCAGCAAAGTCAGAGGCAACTTAAGACATCCACCACGATCCCCACGGTACAGCAGAACTCACACCTTTCTTCAGAATGCCTCTCTCCCTCCCTCCCATAAACATAAGCTCATTTCCATCCACCACCTTTCTCTCTCTAGTTATATGTGTTAGAGGGTAGGGCAGAAAACCCAGATTGGAACTACTGAAGCTTTTCTTCATTACCTTGTCTAGTTTGTCTATCGAGGAGCAGATGACACGGAACTTGCTTTCAGGGACCCCACAGACAGCAAACACTCCATCTATAATCCGCCGGTCATTGACCTGTGAACTCAATGGAAGTGACCCAAGCACCCTGTCAGTCCCCTTTCCTTTAAATCATGGCAGTCCCTATTCTCTCAACTCATAAAAGGGATAGGAAGGAAATCTCGCAAAGAATACACACAAATGTAAGAAATACAACAGCTGTACTAAGAAAGTCCATGAACTGCAGGCTTAAGGGCTGGGGTCACCTATGGTTTGGGACTTGCATAAACAGCACCAAGCCACTGGACTTATCCCCCAGTCCTCAGCCCTGACCTCACCTTAATGAGAAAGTTCCCCAGCTGCAACCCACTTAGGATTTCACATATGATCTTCAAACATTCTGCATCAGGGATCATAGGATCAAACTGACCTGCAATGTCAAAATCCTACAACAAAGAGAAAACATAGGAGCAATTTTCTAATGATCAATCAATTCCCAGGTTGTAGTCCCCAGAACTATCAGACTGTGCTGTCCCCATCAGGTCACTTACACACTGGCAGAACTCCCTGTAGCGGCCTTGGACTATGGCTGGGCTCTCCCGCCGCCACACCTTTCCAACATGGTAGCGTTTCATCTTCTTCAATTTATTCATAGCCAGATAACGAGCAAAAGGGACCTCACATGAATAGGTTAAAGAATACAAAATTCAAAGCTTAGGCCTAGGACACAGATTTTAAGGAGGACTGGACCTCTCAGAATTGGATCTCATCCACTAGGATGAGAACAAGGACCTTATCTGGCTTGCTTCCCACTATCCCCAAAGTGTAGCAGTGCTTGACATCCAGTATATATGGAATATGTCAAAAACGAAGCTGTTGGGGGTCAGCACTGTGATGTAGCAGGTTAAGTTGCCACCTACAGCGCTGGCATCCCAAATAAGCAACAGTTCAAGTCCCAGCTGCTCTACTTCCAATCCAGTTCCCTGCTAATGTACCTGGGAAAAAAGCAGAAAATGGCCCAAAGTGCTTGGACCCCTGCACCCACATGGGAGACCTGGAAGAAGCTCGTGACTCCTAGCTTCGGCCAGGCCCAGCCATCTAGGGAGTCAACAAGTGGATGGAAGGCCTCTCTCTCAGTCTTTCTCCTTCTGTAACTCTGCATTTCAAATAAATAAAATAAATCTTTTAAAAAGAAACCTATAAAGGCTGGTGCTGTGGAGTAGCCGGTAAAGCCGCCACCTAAAGTGGCGACATCCCATATGGGCACCAGTTCGAGTCCTGGCTGCTCCATTACTAATTCAACTCCCTGCTGATAGCCTGGGAAAGCAGAAGACAGCCCAAGCACTTGGGCCCCTGCACCCACATAGGAGACCCAGAAGAAGCTCCTGGCTTCTGGCTTCAGACCGGCACATCTCTGGCCACTGCGGCCATCTGTGGAGTGAATCAGCAGATGGATGACCTCTCTCTCTCTCTGGGTAACTCTGCCTTTCAAATAAATAATTTTTTAAAGATTTATTTATTTATTTATTTGAAAGGCAGAGTTACCCAGAGAGAGGAGAGGCAGAGAGAGAGGTCTTCCATCCTATGGTTCACTCCCCAATTGGCCGCGATGGCCAGAGCTGCACCTATCTAAAGGCAGGAGCCAGGAGCTTCTTCCAGGTCTCCCACGTGGGTGCAGGGGCCCAAGGACTTGGGCCATTTTCTACTACCTTTCCAGGCCATAGCAGAGAGCTGGATCGGAAGTGGAGCAGCCGGGTCTTGAATTGGTGCCCATATGGGATGCTGGCACTTCAGGCCAGGGCATTAAGCCACTGTGCCACAGCACTGCCCTCAAATATATAATTTTTTAAAAGATTTACTTATTTCTTTGAAACTGAGAGTTACACAGAGAGAGGCGGAGAAGCAGAGAGGGAGGAAGGGAGGAAGGGAGGGGGAGGGAGGGAGGGAGGGAGGGAGGGAGGGGGAGAGAGAGAGAGGTCTTCCATCCTCTAGTCCACTATCTAATTGGCCGCAAAAGCCAGAGCTGTGCCAATCTAAAGCCAAGAGCCAGGAGCTAGGAGCCTCCTTTGGGTCTTCTCACAGAGAAGCAGGAGCCCAAGGACTTGGGCCATCTTCCACTACTATCCCAGGCCATAGCAGAGAGCTGGATAGGAAGTGGAGCAGCCAGGACTTGAACTGGTGCCCATATGGGATGCCAGCCCTGCAGGCGGCAGCTTTACCACAGCGCCAGCCCCATGAATAAATCTTCAAAAAAGAACACTATAAATACAAAAATGCAGATGCTGAATCCCACTCCAGTTACAGAATTAAGAATCTCTGGGTCCAGGGTTCTAGAAAGGACTCTGATACACATTAAAGTAAAACGATCGGGCTCCAGGCAAGGCTCTGCTGGCAGAACTGCCTTCTGGGAGAAACGGGAATAAGGCTGATGCCAATGTACTTGGATAATCCCAGAGTTACTCTCCTCCCTTTTGTCAGATAAAGCCCTCTGGACTTGAAAGAGAGGTCAGGCTCCAGCACTCAGGATACTGTAAGGTCATAGCGAAGGGACAACAACTCTCCACCTTGATCCTTCAGATCATAGATGAGCCCAGAGTTCTCCCCATAATTCTCAGTGAGCATTTCCTGCAAGAGGCAAACAGAAACAGCCTCGATTCAAACAATGACTACAAAGCACAGACGAAAAGCCCTTTAGGACACGGAAGGCAGAAGAAGAAATGGGTTTCAGGCACTCTTCTCTCCTTACCTTTAGCTCAAATGCTGGAGTATCCAATCCCTGAGCTCCATGACGTTTGAAGCAGCTAACAACCACATCAAGGATTTTTTCCCTCACAACCATCTGCTGGGGACTAAAATCCCTGGTGCCCTGGAAATCAAAAGCAGTCATAGTGAAAAGGAAACTGAAAAACAAATCCATTGAAGATAAAGAGCTAAACTTTTTATAATCTAAGTTATGGAACTGAAATTTTTTGAGTTCAGGTGATTCTGGGCCCCACCCAATAGCTCAAGAATAATGTTTGTTTGTTTTTAATTTAAAAGTATAATTAAAAGGCATCATAGAGATGACCAAAACAGGGATCAGTTTTCCAAGCATACCAATGGGACAGAGTGAACAAAGGTGTATTACCTTTGGGGTCTTGATGATAAAATTTGGCGTTTCTTGATGTGGTTTCAATTGGGATGTCAGCACTGACTCTGCCACCTGTCAGAAGAAATATGAAATATGGTTCCTCTGGAAGCTGGCCAGACCTGTGATGTCTCTGCCACAAATATGCTCTTCTCCAGTTCTCAGATCCTACTTAAACAGCAAAAGAAATTATAATAAGGTAGCACTGATTATTAGGCTTGGAGACAGGCAAAATGCAACGTGAAAGCAGAGGAGAGCCATCCCAAGGACACCAAAGCAGCCCATGGAATGAAAGGGAATGGATTTCCTGACTGAACTAAAAAACTCAGGTTGGTAGAGTGCTGTGATGGAAAATTAGTAAAATATCTGAGTCCTATCGTTCATGATGAGACAAAGCATCTGCCGAGAGGATTTGAGGGACCTTCCTAAGTAACGCAAAACAGAAAAGTTGGGACTTTATTGCTGGATGGCAGCATGGGCCTTACAGAAATAGAGGGTGTGGTAGTTTTAGACTCTGGCGACTCTCCTCCAATTGAAGTCCAAATTCAAGTTCACAGTCTCACATCTGTAGTCCCAAAATTCAAAACTCTCTGAAAACCTCAAATGTTTTTTGAAATTCATTCTGAAGTTAAATTCTAATACGAGCTCAGTCCACTTAATGGTCTTTAGTCATCTCATTTAGTGGAAATACCCATATATTTTGCTTTAAAATATTAATATTTGACTTAGAATTTCAGACAAGAGCATAGATCTGTATGAAAGCATTCCCTTACTTGAAGCTTCGGGTAAATCATTTAACCTTGCAGCCTCTGTTTCCTAAACTATAAAAACCCCAACCTCTCGTGATTGCTCTGCGGATTAAACAACAAAGCACTCAGAACTCTGTTTAGTGCCGATACATAGTGGGAACTCAGTAAAAACCGAATGCAATACTACTGGAGTACTGGCTACTGGAGCCCGTACTTTCAGACCCGGAAGCCCTGCCCGGGCCGACTGGAGCTCTCAGTCAGGCTCACCTGGCTATGACCACGGACCGCCTGGGTACACGCAGAGGGGGGCGGTCGCAGAAGCTGGCTGAACAGCGCAGCCCAGGCCCTCTTGGGCAGGAGTCCGAGCTGGGGCATCGTGCGCAAGACGCCGGCTTTCCAGGACAGGATGCCAAGGCGGAGAATGAGGCAAGAGGACCCCAAAAAGAATACCGGTTGCTGCACACTTCAGGACCCTGAGCTCCACTCGTCCCAGAGCAACGCTTCCGGTTGGTGCCGGAAGCGAAGTTGAGACCTGACGGAGGCTCTCTAGGCGCACAGGAGGGCGACTCGATAGCCGGAAGTCATCCAGGCTGAACGCTAAGGTTGATTCCGCCGGGCCGGTCTCAGCTTCAGTTAGCAGCAGGGATGGCTGACCGTGCGGCGCTTGAGGAGCTGGTGCGACTTCAGGGAGAGCGCGTGCGAGGTCTCAAGCAGCAGAAGGCCAGCGCCGAACAGGTGGGACTCAGGTGGCAGGGGAGGGGCCGAGGCAAATCCAGGGAGGATTTAAAGCCCGAGTCTTCGGAACAGAGGTCAGGGACGCGGGAGAAGGGACCGGGCTGGTAGGGAGGAGGATGGGCCCCGTAGGGAGGTGGCCGGGGTGGGTGCCCAGAGAAGCAAAGCCAGGCCTGGGCAGACAGATCTGCCCTGCAGTCTGAGGAGGGAGGAATACTGAATGAATGGTGGGGGAGGCAGGGAAGTGACTGACGGATAGCCCAGCGACTTCTTTCCCTCCATAGATCGAAGAGGAGGTGGCGAAACTCCTGAAACTGAAGGCACAGCTGGGCCCTGATGAGAGCAAACACAAATTTGTGCTCAAAACTCCCAAGGTAACGGGGTTCCTGGAAGAAAACGCTGAGATAGTCCCTAACTCCATTCACGAGGGCACCCATGTCTGTTTCCCCGGAGCAGGTGATGGGTGAGGACCTGAGATACTGCAGAGGACTGACAGTGGCTCCGGGCGGGAGTCATTCTGGGATGACAGAAACTAGGCCAGCCGGGTATGCAGGGGAGTCGACCTGCTGCTGCTCCTCCTTTCATGTAGTAAATATGCCTCCCACATCCCTGGTGCTGTACCAGACAGTGAATACACCATGGTGGACAATACAGGCTGCCCTCGGGGAGCTTACACTGTACCGAAGGAGACAAAATGCGAACAGATCATCCAATTGTGACTGTAAATTGTGGCAAGTGGTAAAAGGAAATAAAGAAGGATGCTCTGAGAAAATAAAGCAGGACTGAGGAGTCTGGGAAAAGGTCACTGATAGGGAGGAGATAGCCAGGGGGGTGAAGAAGATAGATCCAGGTAGAATATGGAAATCTTGAAGCAGGAGGGAACTTTGGTAGTCGCCAGGACCAAAGCAAGACCTGTAAGGCTAATACAGAAGCAAAGTAGAAAGGAATGAAGCTGGAGAGTCCTAGCGCATCTTCCAGGATTTCTGTTCAAGTGTCACTTTGTAAGTTCTGTAAACAGATTATTTACCCATTCATCGGGGTTCCCTTGGCACTCATTCATACCTTTATATATTTTTTTAAAGATTTATTTATTTAGTTGAAAGGCAGAGTTACACTGAGAGAGAAGGAGAGGCAGGGAGAGAGACCAAGCAAGGTCTTCCGCCTGCTGATTCACTCCCAAATTGGCCACAACGGCCAGAGCTGTGCCAATCTGAAGCCAAGAGCTTCTGGGTCTCCCATGCAGGTGCAGGGATCCAGGCACTTGGGCTGTCTTCTACTGCTTTCCCAGGCCATAGCAGAGAGGTGGATTGGAAGTGGAGCAGCTGGGGCTCGAACTGGTGCCCATTTGGGATGCCAGCACTGCAGGCAGCAGCTTTACCAGCTACACCACAGCGCTAGCCCCATACCTTTATAATTGTATTGACTTTTTGTAGTTACTCACGTAGTTTATTTACCTTGAGGCTCAGAATCAGTGCCTGAAAATAAGTATTTAATGAATGTATTTGAAATTGAATTCCAAAGGAGAGAGATGATACTGTCTTTCTTGTGTTAAGATTAACACTTTGGGCTCTATATTCATTGAACAGTTCTTTCACTACACACAACTCATTTTCAAAGGTTAGAGAGACAATAAAATCTCAAAGCAGTGATATCAATGATTATGCAATCTGTAAAATGGAAAACTTAATGGATATTTTGTAATAGATTGGTCCTCACCCAAACTGAATTAGTCTTAACATCACTAAAAGTAGAGCAGCAAGACACGATCTTTTGCTGATGTGATGCAGTAAGAAGCATATAGCACCACCCATGAAGGATTCTTGCTAGAAGCTGAACCTGAATCTGACCAGGTCTTTGAACTAAGAGTTTATAGGAAATGCTATGTTATACCACTTAATAACATGTTAAATGACATATTCAGAATATTGTTAACCAGATCTGGGATGTGAAAATTTTTTAAAAACAAATGTCTCGGCCGGCGCCGTGGCTCAATAGGCTAATCCTCCGCCTTGCGGCACTGGCACACCGGGTTCTGGTCCCGGTCGGGGTGCCGGATTCTGTTCCGGTTGCCCCTCTTCCAGGCCAGCTCTCTGCTGTGGCCCGGGAGTGCAGTGGAGGATGGCCCAGGTCCTTGGGCCCTGTACTCCATGGGAGACCAGGAGAAGCACCTGGCTCCTGCCTTCGGATCAGTGCGGTGTGCCAGCCGCAGCGTACTGGCCTCGGCAGCCATTGGAGGGTGACCCAACGGCAAAGGAAGACCTTTCTCTCTGTCTCTCTCTCTCACTGTCCACTCTGCCTGTCCAGAAAAAAAAAAAGAACAAATGTCTCATTTTCATCAACAAATACTTTTTTTTCAAAAAAGGAAACTTTTAGATAGGTATATGTATAGGTATATACCTATTAGATATATGTATAAGTATATGTTTAGGTATATGTATACTTTTATTTTTTTACTTTTTTTCTTTTATTTATGTATTTGAAAGAGCTATACAGAGACAGAAGGAGAGGCAGAGAGAGAGAGAGAGAGCGCGCGTGCGCGAGCTTCCATCTGATGGTTCAATCCCCAACTGGCCGCAACGCGGCGCTGATTCGAAGCCAGGAGCCAGGAGCCTCTTCTGGGTCTCCCACATGGGTGCAGGGACCCAAGGACTTGGGCCATCCTCCACTGCTTTCCCAGGCCACAGCAGAGAGCTGGATCGGAAGTGGAGCAGCCGGGTCTCAAACAGGCGCCCATATGGGATGCCAGTGCTTCAGGCCCGGGTGTTAACCCGCTGTGCCACAGTGCCAGCCCCAAGGTATGTGTATACTTTTAGATAGTATATGTATACTTTTAATAGGTATAGGTGTATGTACCGAATACAATGCATGGCCTTCATTTAGAATTGGATTCAAATAAGCCACTCATAAAAAGGTATTACTGAGGCAACAGGGGAAAATGTAACATGCCTTGCTGGTAGATAATATTAAGAGGCTAGTTAGTTTTGTTGGTTATAAGAAAGGCATTTTCATATTCTGAGTTTTTCCTTTTAAACCTTTATGTATTAGAGAATCATACTGAAGTATGTATGGGTGGGATGATGTGATGTCTGAAATTTACTTTAAAGTACTTCTGAAAGAATGTCAGCATTTAAATGAAACAAGAACAGTGGATGTTAATGGTTGTTGAAGCCAGGAAAGGGATACATAGTAACCATAAAACTATTCTCTGTATGTCTGAAAGTTTCCATAATGTTAATAGAAAATGAGATTATATTGGGGAGTTAATATCCACTGTAGTTTGTTAAATCACATTTAAAAAAAAAAAGATTTATCCCAGGTGCTTGGGCCCTGCACCCCATGGGAGACCAGGAAAAGCACCTGGATCCTGGCTCCTGCCATCAGATCAGCACGGTGCGCCGGCTGCAGCGGCGGCCATTGGAGGGTGAACCAACGGCAAAGGAAGACCTTTCTCTCTCTGTCTCTCTCTCTCACTGTCCACTCTGCCTGTCAAAAAAAAAAAAAAAAAGATTTATGTTATGTATTTGAAAGGCAGAGAGACCAGGAGTGCAGGGCAGAGGGGTCTTCCATCTCATGGCTGGGGTAGAGGGTCTTCCCACATGGCTGGGGTTGTGCCAGGGTGAAGCCAGAAGCCTGGAACTCCATCTGGGTCTCCCATTTGGTAGCTGGGGCCCAAGTACTTGGACTATCTTCCACTGCTTTCCCAGACCCATTATTAGGGAGCTGGAAAGGAAGTGGAGCATTGTGGATTTGAACCTGTGCTCATAAGGGATGCTGTTATCACAGGCAGTGGCTTAACCCACCATGCCACAACGCCAGCCCCTAAAACAGCCGGCGCCGTGGGTCAACAGGCTAATCCTCCGCCTGCGGCGCCGGCACACCAGGTTCTAGTCCCGGTCAGGGCACCGGATTCTGTCCCCAGTTGCCCCTCTTCCAGGCCAGCTCTCTGCTATGGCCTGGGAATGCAGTGGAGGATGGCCCAAGTGCTTGGGCCCTGCACCTGCATGGGAGACCAGGAGAAGCACCTGGCTCCTGCCTTCGGATCAGCGCAGTCCGGCCGCAGCGCGCCGGCTGCGCTGGCCATTGGAGGGTGAACCAACGGCAAAGGAAGACCTTTTTCTCTGTCTCTCTCTCTCTCACTTTCCACTCTGTCAAAAAAAAAAAAAAAAGGTGCAAAAGCACTTATGAATAGAACGGCTAATGCCTTAGCACAAAACAAGACAGTGGCACTTGGGGCTGGTGTTGAGGCATAGCAAATAAAGCCATTGCCTACAATGCCAGCATCTCCTGGGTGCTGGTTCATGTTCCAGCTGCTCCATTTTGGATCTAGCTTCTTGCTAATGTCCTGGAAAAAGCAGGAAGATGATCCAGGTGTTTGGGCCCTTGCCACCCACATGGGAGACCTGAATGAAGCCCCTGGCTCCAGGCCCTGGTAGTTGCAGCCATTGGGGAATGGATCAGCAGATGGGAAGTCTCTCTTTTTCTCTGTAACTCTGCACCTCTACTTTCCAATAAATATATTTTTTAAAGATTTATTTATTGGAAAGAGAGAGAGGTCTTCCATCCACTGGTTCACTCCCCAAATGGCTGCAACAGCCGGAGCTGAGCTGATCTGAAGCCAGGAGCCAGGAGCTTCTTCCAAGGTCTTCCAGGCAGGTGCAGAGGCCCAGTGACCTGGGCCATCTTCCACCACTTTCCCAGGTGCATTAGCAGGGAGCTGGATCAGAAGTAGAACAGCCACGACTTGAACCGGCACCCATAAGGGATGA